ATTAATGATATATGCAAGGTTTCTGATTTAGTGAAAGTGGTTTTGTTTGCGGATGACACTACCATATGGGCATCGGGTGAAAACCTACAGCAACTCTCTGGACGGGTTTCACAGGAACTTGAGAAGATAAAGAAATGGTGTGACAGTAATATAAAAGCCAGGAACAATTTATTACCTGGTGGAATTCAAAAACTATTTAATGAAAGGGAAGGGGGATACAATTTAAGGGGTCAGTTAAATTTAAAAATTCATGCTATACGTACAACCCAAAAAAGATTTTGTATTTCCATAAGTGGGGTAAAACTATGGAATAATTTAAGTGTAGACATAAAAAACAGTACTAGAATTGACGAGTGTTAAACATAAATATAAAGGTATGTGTCAAACAAGATATATGCAAGAACAGGCTCAATGATTATTTACATGGACAATTGTGGGTGTGGTGTACATTTCGTAATAATTTAGTATATTACTTGTGTGGTGTTGAAGATAATTATTTAAGAATGTAATTATGTAAGAATGTTAACACTGTTAGAATCTTTTTTAGTATATTACTTGTGTGGGTAGAAGTGAATCATTTACTGCTTGCAAACCAATGATGGTAAGATGCTGTCATGGGGTAGGACTGGATAAGTCTGACTTCTTCCTACTCCATTCAAGCATGTACTAGGTATAAGCAAATTGATATTGGATTATGTGTAAAATTGTGTGTTGTCATATCAACTGTTTTTACATGCGCCACTGGAGCGCAGTGTGGGCTCTACAGGAGGCCTAGAGCCCCACCAACCAGCAATGCATCTGTTTACTGCTCGGTTAAGTTTCCGTTTCCACCGAGCAGGATCTCCATGTGGCCAAATCAAAACCTACCCGTTTCCTTCAGATTTACAAAGTTAACCTCATTTTGCTGCAGGGTATAGGTGTGATTTCAGATTATTTGAATTTGCTCCCTAATAAAACAGCGAGTCCTTCTCTTTTATTATCATTTATAAGCGTTATGTGTATCTCTTTTATTATCATTTATAAGCGTTATGTGTATCACTTCACGCGACGCACGAGTGGCCGTTAATCTACATATAGATTGTCCATCGTTATTTAAAAAGGCGCTATCCAGCAAAACAAAACTTACCTATTGCCACAGTGCCGCCTCGCGTAGACTCTTCCTGTTTCGGTAAATCAACAAAATGCCCTGACTCAGTGGCTCAGCTGTCATATACACTAGCACTGCCCCTTTGACAAACACCCTCACCTGCCTCACTGGAGCTCGGTGAGCTAATCCAACTTGAGCAACATGTTGCAGCCTGACTTCATACAGCCTGTGTGTCTTTACCCACTCTGCCCCACTACCCCACACAACTTGTATATGCAAATAATGTACATTATACTTACATTAAAATGTTCAACATCGTTGTTTCATTGGAAAACTAAGATAAGTTGGCTAAAGTAGGAAGTGGAAATTTTACTGATGCACTCTGGCAATAAAGTATAAAAAAACAAAACTAAGCATATATTAAAGCAACATGTGGACAAATGGAGGACAAAGAAAGGCCTATTTAAAATCCATTTATTTGATTTAAAAAAAAGTAACAGCAACATCCTTGGCTCCAATGCATCACTGCACATTTGCCTGATGAAAAATATGCAAAAACAAATACAATAGTGCCCTTATAGTACAAAGGCACAGCAGCAGAAGGCTAAATCACTAGTTTAAATATACAGTAACCCCATCTCTGGAAAAAAACTCCCTGTCAGTCTGACCCACCTCTGCATTCATGTAGTGTATAAACATTTCTAAGCTTGGTAGAGTAAAATATGTGAAATGTGATTTGTGCAATTTCACAATGATTATCATATGCTCAGATCAATTTGTCACTGCAGTCCTCACAGTCAACTAAAATCATTGTTATACCTAAAAAACAGCTTTTAATGCACATTCAGCTTTGATTAAACCATTATTACACTTAAAACCTAGCTTCCCATCCAGAGCTTTAAGAGATTTTCATGCCTGAGGCAAACCCGTGCTTGACCAGAGCAACAGTGCTCAACACTTGTCAGGGAAAACACCATCTCATACCTATTACACTACAACAGACTCTAAAATAAGCCAAAGCATTTAAAATGCATCCTAACATCGTATTTGATTGCTTGGTACACATATATCTCACATATATCTATAAACACTCCCCCTCACAGCCCTCAAATCCATAGCCGGTCTCTGTTGTCAACAACATAGACTAAATAGTAAGCGCACCGAGTATGCTTCATTGCATAGAAAAGTGCTATGTAAGTATAAGACCATTTACAATATCTCTTCTCTCCACTGAATAAGGGACAATAGGTTTGTTTTGTAGCTACATGTGCCTGTTTTACAGTCATTAGGTAAAAGCTGTGCGCTGATCAAATATTCAGACCAGTCACAGGAAGCAGGCAGTAGCAGCTAAGACACCGTAGTTAAGTTTTCACATGTGCACTTCATGCTTCCAATAAAGTTCTTCTACTTCTGTACAAATATATTGTTGGTCCATGTCATGTTTAGAACTGGAATGGGTGATAGAATTATCATGCCAATGCTCGGGTTAAATGTACATTTTGGAATGACTATAATAGTGGTATACACAAAACACTGGAACAGTCCACAGGCATCTTTATCCAGTTGTCCACTGTAGGATTCTCACATCCAAATAGGTCACGGTCAGTGTAAGAACACAGAATAAATACTGCACAGTGGTTTATGAACTTGGCTTTTTGAATGGCAAGTCCATGCATATTATTTGGCGCTATCTCCAAGGCAGTGTCTGGAGGGACTGATGTCTCTTTATGTTCCAGTTTATTCAGTGGCTCATAAAACAGGCTCTGCCTTTTGGCAGGTCTATCAGAAGCAGTATTCAGGCCTGCTAGTAAAATACATTCAAATGCCTTTCTGGGAATGAAGAGAAGAGACACCGTGCAGAGTATATCTGTATATGTATTTTGTTAGATGGAGGTATGTTTCTACAGCAGTGCATCCAGGTCCAGCTCTGGCAGAGGTACCTTCCAGAAGGAGAAACTACTGTACTCAGGGCAGTGGAAACTAGAGGATACGCTGCCCTTGACAGAGAGCACAGGGAAGAAGTGCTCTACCACCTCACTGAGGTGGCTGTACCTGCAAAATACAACACACACAATATGAAAATGGTCAGAATTCCACTAACAAACATAGACACTAGAAAAAGAACAAAAGAGTATGGTCCACAAAAATCTGCATTCTAGAAGCTGCACTCCTGTGAGGCTGCTACTAATGATTAGTTTCATTGTAATCTACCATTTATTTTGTCAGTAAACCAATGAAATGTTTTGTCTATAAAAACTCCGAAAATTATTTTTAAAAAAGCTTGTTAGAATTTCCCACAGCCTACGGTGACATTTTAAATATCTTATTTTTTCTGAGCAAGGATACAGTTTAAGTCACGTATGCCACAGTGAAACAGAGCGGCTGTGGCTTAGGAGGTAGAGCGGTCATCCTCTAATCGAAGGTCAGCGGCTCGATTACTGTTCTCCCCAGTCCACGTTTTGAAGTGTGCCTGAAGGACACTGAACCCCAAGTTGCTCCTGATGACGGCAGCAGCCGCCTTGCAGGGACAGTGCCAACATCAGCATATTTTGTACCGGTGACAAATTCCTTGTGTGTGTAAAATACTTGGCCAAATAAAGTGATTCAAATATTTGCTGCTTACAGCTTCTTGAATGTCAGGATTTTATTTTATTTTTAAAAAATGCTAAAATTAAATCCTGACATTCCATTAATATTAGCAGCAAATATTTTGCACTTTTGCTCAAAACAAATCACTAAAATTATTATTTCATAATAAAAATTGGATTTTGTGATGATGGATGAATGACTAATTAATTGAGTGATCCTTGCAGTGCTACACACTTACATAACAAATTTTTATGTTATTGGATCATCTTAGGTTATTTGATGCCATGGGTTCTTGTTTCGGAAATGAAACAGTGCAGTCTAACGCATTCATTAAGTCTCACTGGGGGACAGGCACTGATATTCATCTTCTAATACCACTAAGAATTACCACAGTCACATCCTTTAAAACATATACATTGTTTATATCCGCTCCCTTGCCATGATCTGGTGCACACTTACGATGACTTGTATCCCTTAGTCTTCTCCTGGATGAGCACTCCTTTTGGGTTGACAGTAAATATCCTGATGTCAGGCACTCCGACCTGCTTATAGGCATAAACATCCTGCAAAAACGAGGGCAGCAACATTAATACAGGTACAGATAGGAGCTTCAGTGTCACTTCAGCCTTAATAGTCTCTATGAATGCCTAAAGGATTGTTTGGTTGTAACTGAACTAATCCATAATCAAAACTGATTAGTCAGTGTTTACTTCATACCTAGAAGCAAGCTCCAGATTTTACTTTTATATTTGTCACACTTCATTTCTACCTGATAGAGTACTGGAGATGTGCACAACTGTATGATAACTGTGTAGTTTTCCTTTAAAATGCACAAAGTCTTATGATTACATGTATAAGTCCAGGTTTGTGCTAGAGGCTAAAAACATCAACAAATATGCAATTAGGCACCTGGAAAATCTATATTAAAAAAAAAACCAAAAAACATTTCTGAAGGCTACTGCTGTATAAAAAGCCACTCCACAGTGCTGCTTACATTTGTCCTGTTGCCGAAGGCTGCGTAGAATGGCTCTCTCCTTGGACTGAACAGGTCCCTGATGTCACTGAGACAAGCAACTTTAAACACCTCTGGCTTCTTTTCAATAACCTCTCTGCAAAGGTTAGACAGGTCATTATCTGTTCAAATGTCAACATCCATCCATTATCTATGCTGCTTATTCTGTAGAGGGTCAAGGGGAGGCAGGAGCCCAGCCCAGTCAACATTAGAAGAGAGACAGGGTACACCACGGACAGGTCGCCAGTCTATCACAGGGCAACACACATCAACACACAACCACGCACACCTACAGACAACTTAGAATGGCCAATCAAACTAACCTGCATGTCTTTGGACTGTGGGATGAAGCCAAAGTACCCAGAGAAAAAGCACACAGGCACAGGGAGAACATGCAAGCTCCACACAGGAAGGTCCCTCTGGCCACCAGATTTGAACCCTGAGCCTTCCTTCTGTGAGGCAACAGTGCTAACCACTGCTCCACTGTGCCACTCTTCAATTGCATACATTTCATAGTTTAGTAGCTGAGGATTAGCATTTACTAGATTGATGTAGAGGTCAGCAGCAGTCATTTAATATCATTTAATGAGCTCTTTGACAAGAAAGCAGCAGAGGTAATACCTCAAACAGACAGCGGCAGTACAGCAGATTTCAGTGACCTAAAAGGTGCTTTAAATAAAGTGTATTATTATTAGTAGTTACCTGTGTAGTGCTGAAAAGAGGCTGCTGGGAGCGAGGATTACAGGGCCTTTAGGAAGGGCCGTGCCTTTGTCACTGACCCGCTGCAGGTAGCCCTTAGTGATGGCAGACATACCTATAGCCCGCGCTGAACAGTACAGAAACTTGTAGCCATTTCTGCAAGGAAAGGGATACCCACATCTACATGTAAGTTTGACAAGATAAAAAGGAAAGTGTTTTCCATTTCTACTTGTAACTGAGTTGGCTTTCAGCAGCTGAGTACATCCAATCATTTCAACACATGCACTGTACTGAATCCTGCTTCTCCAGATTAGTGTGACATTAGCACTTCAAATGGAATTCAAAATGAGAACAAACAGGAAAACATCTGGCAATCTAGATTATACAGGCAGTTCCCACTACAATGAAAACAGAATCATCGGCAGGAGATAAATTTGATTTGTTTTTGCTTGGTACAGTGTGTGTAATGTGTCTGAAATTTTATTAAACGAAACTGATTTAAAAAAAAAGGAGAGAAAAGAAAGAGTAGAAAGCCTAATAAAGTCAATGACATTTTATACTCTTCTAGAAGTGTTCTCCAAAAAATAGTCACATCACATACTTGTGTATTTTGTGGTAGAGCTTGGCAATGCCTTTGTGTGTCCAGTCCTTCCCAAACTGAGGTAGAATTTGACCCAAAGCATCCGACCTGCAGGCAACAGAAATGGAAGATTCCTCATAATATTATCAGAAGTAGGTCACCTGTACTGAACTGCTTTGTATCCAAATGTCTATCTGTACAACACAGCCTGCAAAAAACATTTTCTTTACTTTGTGATGGTGCCATCTATATCTGATATGATGACGCGATCGTCCCAGTTCCACAGATAGATGGCAGCTTCACAGCGACAGGTGCCTTGGTATTGTGTGGTCACACTGAACACCACGTTGTTGGCTCCTTCACGCAAGTGTAAGTGCTCCTGGGAATGGCAGAGGTTAGAGTTAGGTAGATGAACTCACAGTAAAAAGTGGTCTACCTCTAGTTATTATTTCATAGCAGAATCAAATATATTTGTGTGGGTGTGTCTTACTATCTGTTCAGAGGTCAGACGGAGTGATTTACGGTACATCTGGCTGATACACTGAACGGTGCTAAGAGTTTCTGTGGATATGCTTGAAGGAATGACGGCTTTTCGGGCGAGCCCTGCTGCCTCATCACTGTCGGGGTCCTCCAGTGTGGCTCTGGGGAAACAACGTATACACAAATACTATGAATGATGTTTGTCTTTCCATTCATTGATAATTGTTAATAACTCAAAAATACTGACAAATGAAATTATGTAATGATTTGTGCATGAAAATAAACACTCCAGGTGTAAGGTTTTGTCAAGTTCATTAAATTGTGCTGGATCATTTCTTAGTGACCTACTTTACTGTGGAAGAATCACTTGCCAGTGGCTCCCCTTGCTCCTCTGATTGTTTTTGCTGAAAAACCATGAAGGTTACATTATGAGTGACACTCCAAACAAAAACAAATGTTCCAACTGGCACAGAGTGCCACAGTAGTGAGTCCTAAAACCCGGAACTGAGTTGGCATTTTTGCACTTCTGGTTCCCTCGCCCTGAAGTTATGGGTTTTTTTGAATGGGTTTTTAGTGAGATGCCTGAAATAAGGTCTGTGGTTAACAAAGCCAAAACATTTTCACGTTTTGTTCTATTAAATAAAATATATCAGTAAATATCACACTCGTGATTTTAATGCATATCTATATATCTTAAAAAAGGCAGTTGTTAACAAGTGGCTAAATGAGACTACAGAGGCTGTCTGGGATTTTACACAGACTCATTTGCTCCCTAGAACGCCTTTACAGCCTCGTTATGTTTAAACTCGCAGACTGGCAAACTATTCTGACACAGCCATGATCACTAACTAGATCAGGTCACACTAAGAGGAAAGGATTTTGTAGTAGAGGTAAGCAATATAAATCAAATTACAAGTTGGTGATGGTGAAGTCATGGGATCGTGGTCTAGTCAGTTTATAGCCTAACACTAAATTTTTACTTCTGGTCATTTGTTTGGGGCTCAAACATCATAAAAGTGATGTACAGTTGTGAAGATTATCTTACTGAACAAAATGTGGCCTTAAAAAATGCATCATCTCTACGGCTAAAAGCCGAGCACGCCTTCCTGATCTGATCCTTTAATCACTTCCCTCTCTACCACCCTTATTCCTGTTACCCTTATTCTTACAAGGACGGAACAGGGCCACTCATGAGAGTGTAAAAAAAAAAACATTTTGGATTTTTGTAGGTGCAAATGTAATGTTTCTTAACTCAGTGAACAGCCATCAACAAGAGTTCCGAAGCATTTACCTGGTTTTTGTCCATGTCGCTTCTCCTCCAGAACCACCAGGGTCCAGACTTTTTGGGCATTTTACTTTTTACCAGCTGCTCTATTATAGTCTGTACGACACAGAAATAATAAAAAGGCAACACATGCATTAGTCTTGTCTGACAAATACTGTGAAGTTCCTAAGAGCTCACCGATCACATTGACTAATGCTGGTTACTGGGCGTTAGGGAAACATCATAAAGTTAACATCACTGTGGTCTAGTTTAGAAACAATAAAATACCTCGGGCAGGTTTTTCTGGAAGGCTGTCATTGACAAAACCATTGGAGCAGCCGCTTCCCAGTTGTAATAGCTGTGAAAGATAAAAGCCAACTGATAAACAATCATGGACATAAACTCACTGAGCGTGATCATTTTGTGAATGGTACTTTTCTAAATACATTTTTGAAAAAAAAAAAAAAATCGTACTTGGAGTTGATGCAGATGACTAGATTAGGATCCTCAATGATTCCTGGATTGTTGGTGAAATCCTGGTATGTCACTATGTGCTCCTTAAACCTTTCTGAGGTAGGAGAAGCAGCAACATGGTGACTGATTTAACGCTATTGGAAGAGACTTCCATTTCCTTTGTGCTCTAACAGTGCAGACACAGAAAACCCATTCACTCACACTCACTTTGGGTGATTTGACTCGTGTCGCCTTCTTGTCCACAGAGTGACATGCTGATATCCACATTGTAGGAGGCGGAATCAGACAGGTACTCTGTCCCGCTGTCCATGGCCCCACTGCCCACTGACTGAGGTGACTGGCTTCCTGAGCAGGAGCCCTGCTCTGCTCCATGCTGAAACGCTCCGTCTGCGTCACTGCGAAAATGCAAATTCATTTCACATCAGTTATGCTCCAATGTCAGGAAACATTTAACAGAAACCATAGCACAGTTGCTGAGTTACTGTTTCAGTAGAACTCAATCACTGTGGGATTTGGTGACATCACTGAATATGTGCCTTTCGGTTCATTTATCTTTAAGTCATCTTTTTTTTTGCAATACAGATTTCATACAGTAGATCATTAAACGTGAGCCACTTACACAGCACTTTGGTAAGAATATGCGTTATGTTTCTTCTTACCTCTTGGGGAAGTAGAGTGCAGCCGCTTCTGGGTCTAGCGAGGTCAGATCATCCAAGTAAATGTCTGTTGGCCCTAGATGGTAATTACGTTTAGCTGTAACAGAATGACACAAAAACCACAGATGAACATGAACATAAACTGACAAAGATGTTTTTTTGAGTCTGAATGAGTTTATAGGCTTTTCTTAAATGAAAAAGCAACAACAAAAATGCTTAGAGAAATACTTCACCTTTCTTCTTGTCCTGACATTCCATTTTGGAGGCTGCCTCAGAGGAGACTGCTGAAGCCTCTGTGGCAGCCCAGCTGGCCCCGGCATCTCTCATCTCTGCTTTTGGGGCAGTCTTGGTTAGTGAGCTTCTGCGTGACCCATCCATTACTCCAGGTGCGCCATCCTCTTCCCCTCCCTCAGCACAGGGATCTATCCCACTGTCCCCCTCACTGACAGGGTGACTACTGCTCAGACCCTGTTCGCTGTGTTCAGATGAAGCACCCTGCTGTTGGACATTTGAAGATTCTGTGCTACTTATTGTAACTGTGCAGTCTTCTCTCTCTCGTTTCTGTTCGTTGCCTGGCTTGGTTACACTGACCACACTCATTTTACTAATTGTCTCAGTCACATGCGCAACACTGACTGTGCTTTCTTTGCCATCAAGGAAATCTGTGCCATTAATTTGACTAGTGGAATAAGAAGGGGAGTCTCTGTTCTCCTCTGCAACAAATGTAGTTTCAAGTGTTTGGACTGAGTCTACAGTAGTCTTCAGTGGTGATGCACAATACCTGGAGAGGTCACTGTGGGTGAAAGGGGCAATGTGAAGGCTTTTCTCCTCAGATAAAGGTGTGGCTTGCATGGCATGGCTACTTGGCTCTACGGAGTTCGTTCTGGGTTGGGGTTTGATCACTGTTACGCTGCCCAATCTGCCACAGCTGATAACAGGCTCCAAGCCATTGTCAAAGGAGCCCTGTCTCTCTATAGTGCGAAAATGAGAACTGCCCGAAGGGGAGATGCACTGTACCTCCACCGGCATCCTCTCTGATTGACACACCTGTGAGAGGGAAGGAAGAGAGAGCAATCTGAGACTGTGTCAGCATGGCAACCTCAAACGTACAGCATCACTACACCATGGAAAGACATCTGTCTGTGTGTATGTGTGGGTGTGTCTTTATGTTTCCATACCACAGGAAAACCTCCCCAGCTCCACTGCATCTGAGGGCCAGAGGGCTCTGGGGGTTTAACAAAGAGCTCAGAGTCGCTCTTAGGAGAGGATGGCTGGCTGTTAAACACACTGCTGCGAAATAAACAGAAAAACAGAGTTGAAACTATAATGAAATGAACAGAAAAACTAAATCCATATGGGTTTATCTCTGACAGTGATTCTCAAAATGCCTCCTTTTAAGGCTGTTCAATACAAAGAAATAAACCAGTTACTCTATTGTAAAGGTGAACCTTCCTCACCTTTCCAAGGGTGACCCCTCTCTGCCTGAGTGTGGATAAGTATCCCAGGTCTGTATGGCCTCCAGCTCCTCATATGGTTCCTCACTCAGCGAATAGTAAACTGATTTGCTATAACACACAATGAGATGTCTTTTAAATACTGTGTTAACTCTATGTGAATACTGAACCACATGAGTTGCTCGTATCAACAGCCCCAATGAGAATCAACATCCTGGTATGTATCTCTATGCTGTTTTCGGTTCCTAGTTTTGTTCTGCCAGGGGCTGCCCTGCACAGACAACTGAACAGTGACTAAAATGCTGAAATATGATGCCATACTTTCCTAATCATCCAAAGTGGTATGTGTTTTCGTCACTGACCTGACTTGCAATGCTGTGACAAACTCGTGTTGAGCAGGACTCTCCTTTCCTGCCTGATCACTTTCTCTCTCCCACTCCTTCTCTCTTTCTGGCTCATCGGATGAGGAGCTGGTGTCTTCTCTCAGGTGAGTATCAGATCGCATGCGTTTGCGGCGGCGTTTCTTTCTGCGGGTGGCAGACCAAGCAGTGGAGGATCCCTCAGGGGCCTCCGCCATTTCTTCAGGGACCTCATGAGAAATTGGGGAGGTGCACAGATGTGCTGGGACCTGGGATTGAGCAGGAGAAGTTCACAGTGTGGAAGACAAGATGTTGGACTGCAAAACTAATGCAAAGTTACAAATGATATTTTTAAAAAGGCATCATTTACAACCCCATTTTACCTTCATGTTTTCATTTTCCTCCACAAAAAAAGCTTCTCCATTGTCACCCAGCTTCATGTGCAGGTCAACTGATTCTCCATTTATTTCAATATCCACCTAAAATCACAACAAGAAATGTATGTCTGACAATAACCAAACACAAACTCCTTAACAGAAAAAAGGACAGAGTTTAAATAATCTAATAAGACATAAAAGATGTACAATTTTCTCCTTGGATCGCAGCACACCCAGCTTGCCAAAGCGGACATGAAAAGGGGAACACTGGAATGATCCATCGGGCTGTCGCACCACAATGACATCGATCCCTCCAGTGAGAGTGGCAGGGTTAATGCCACGGTACAGCTCCTTCACTGTCACAAACACCGTCTCTGCCAGCTGGCCCACGATATTCATGGTTTGGATCTGGAAACAAAAACAAAACTGAGTATAGCGAGGCCCAGTTGCAAGACACAGAAACGAGTGTCTGCATTAAGTATTACCTGAAGTCTGCAATTTGATCCTTAATTCTTTTTCAGTGTCAGCAGCACTCAATAATAATTTCATCCATTTATATTACAGAATTATTTTGACAGTCCAATGGTGATGTTATATAAACATAAAGTTTTAGAGAAACAAAAGAAGAATCACATATCACAAGGCTTCAGCACTTTAGTCCAAGAAACATCAAACCTGTCCACTTAGATTAGTTCTACACAGAAGAGTGTCCCTTGAATGATTGCAAACCGAGTGCAACATGGAGTCAAAAGGTCAAACTAAAGGCTACATACAACATCCTATTTGGCTTAGTTGCTAGACAGCCAAGTTAGCTTACGTATGTGAAACAAACATGCTTCTTTGGGTGGCCTATGAGGACCTCGTACATTTAGACAGTCACAGACAACCATAGGCTCAATTTCAAAAGGAGCACTTAAGATGAATACTTTTACTCTGCAACAACAGAACAGCATAAACTGGAGCCCATAGGAGGTAACGCCCACTGTAATTTTGGCAGTTGTCAAACTCATGCTTTAAAACAAGCTAATAAAACACCCTAACGGTGAAGGCATTAGGCAGGAGTTTTAAGGTTTGCTACAAAGCAAGATGATCAAATTTATTATATAATGACATGTATCAGGATGTTCCACTGTGATAATGGGTTACATTATCGTGATCCACTTTCATGTACCTGAAAAAGAACAACAGACCGATGTATCACATAACAAACACCTACACAATGAATTAAACCTGTCTTCATTGTCATATGTCGGAAGTTCACGTTACCAGTCTGATGTCTTACCCACAGAGAATGATGCAGATGTTCCTTTCCAACCAGGCTGTGTCACCTTGAGCTCGTTCCTGCCATACACCACTAATATAAAGGATTTTCCCACCAAAGGAACTTGGGACCAGTCTGAAGAAACTTTACCTCCATTTCCACTGGTGCAACCCGTCAGCTCCATTCCCCATAATGCTCAGCTGTCTCCCGAGGCTTTAGTTACTCAACTCCCCCGGTATCTATCTGTGGCTGTAAGGTTACATCCTGCTAGCTTTGACAGCTGACATTTTCAGATGTTTGTACAGCCAATTATGCATCTGCTATGATAAACAAGTGGTAATTGGAGATGACAGTGCTCTCTGCTCCAAGCCAAGAAGTAACATGTATCATTTCATGCGAGAGTCCTAGTATATTAATTTACAAACTCTCTCACACAGTATCACATACACTATACATACACACCCTACTGTCATAGTTCCCCACTTATACTGCACATGACAGCCCAACCAGCAGTTTCTAAAAGGCCGGACAGGCTATTCAAACAAGCTTGGCATGAAAACACACACACATACAAACTGATTAACCACACAGTTTCTGGGCTTGACCACAGCTCTCTGGGCCATCAAAGACAAAAGAGACTACAGAGGTCATGTCTACCAACACTCAGAAATCCTTCATAGGCCTAGCCAACCTGGGAGGAACTCAAGCAAATAATCTCCACATTTTGATGAATATCACTGCCTGTGTTGCTGATGGAAGAGGACATGACAGAAAGGCAGGTCTCAGTGGAAAAACCTGGTCTAACAGAGAGAAAACATTTGAGATGATGTAGCTAACCAGCCTTGCTGTGTAAAAACAAAAGGAAAACCCCAGCCTGGCCTATCATGTGACTGATCCAACATTGCAGATGCCTTCTGATTTGGAAGTTTCTTTTCCAATTTATATGATTTAGAGGGATATTGAACGGACTTATTTTATGTGCCAACCAACTGCACTGCACTATTTGTAAATGGATCCAAAATTTTTTGCATGTGTGGAATATCCTCAAGTGCAATACTACAGCTGCCCCCTTATTTATCACATTTTAAATGCTCAATATTTGAACTCTTTCCTCATTCTAGTTTGGGATTTTAATGTTTATATTATTAGTTATACTTCTAGTATGTGTGAATGCACCAACAGGATTGCTAACAGAATTTCACTGTGTAATGACAATAAATAAACGTCTATCTAATCTATCTATGCTTGACTGAAACAACAAGGTGTATCAGGAGGCAAGGTGAATAAAGGCTTACAGCAGACAATGGTAGTGAAATGCACAGCAATAAGAAAAGAAAAGGAGGTTAATGTGTAAAAGGATCCAATATTTGATCTGTAGCAACATGCCGTTTCTAACATGTTAAAACCTATTCCTATGCTAAAATGGCATAATTCCAAGCTTCACCACTTTTAAATTTACTTCATCACAATGAGGAAATAAATCTGACGACACTGATACTAAGGGCTAGAACTTACAATTATTTTCATTTTGTATCAATCTGTAGATAGTTTCTATAAACTGTTTAGCTTCTGTAGTATCTGGCAACCCAAAACTGAAACACGCTCAATTTAAAATATAAAGTTTTTAATGAAGTTCAAAAAGGTGAATAATTAGCAACTTTGATGTTTTTGCTTAATTAGGTTACTTAAATGCTTATTAGGCCTAATGCTGATTCATTCTGTCAGTCAGTTCTTGAAAAAACATGAATAAAAGACGGTAAGAGACAGAATTAGAAACGTTTTAAAAACAGGTTTGTTGGGTATAAGGTACCCTTGTATTGATTTGTACCAAGTGTTTATAAATAGAGTTACACCACAAACTATACTAACTTCCGCAAAGCATTTACGCATAATGTTTACAGTGTGTCGATTTTCAGTGTTGGTCACTAAACTTTCAACACACAACACACCCAAGATTCACGTTTGCTCTTCCCCTAATTCACACATTCTTAAACTAGGTATGTGTCCCATTTAGAACAAATGCTATGTATTGTTCAGAACTTCATTAAGAATTTGCTTTGTTTGACCACAGACTGTAGCTACACCTTGACTTGTCTGAAATGTCAATTAAATCAAATCAAACCTCCCTTAAAAAGTACACAACTCTGCTAACTCTGTCCACGTCTGCTGCACACATTACAGACACTTCATATCTTTCTATTGGTGGCGATAAAGTGTAGAGGGCGGCTTACCTTTGGACTTGCTTTTCAAATTGATAAAACAACAGCCATCCCGGACTCTTCCTGCTGTACCGCGCCTGCGCGAATACAAGTCAATTACTCCAACAACCAATGAACAAACTGGAAAAGAAAGCAAGACCCGCCCCTAACAGAAATTTGTAAAGAAAGCTTGAAAAGCTGCCTGAGGATTAGGCTTTTAAATTGTCATTGTCACGTCAGGTAATATTTTGCTATTCAGAAATCCCATTGTAGCTTACAGGCAAATTTAGATTTTACCTGTTCATGGGTCATATCCATATCCCTGAAAACAGAGCATCTTAGTTAAACTAAAACAAACAGGTTACAAAATCTCACAAACATGTAAAGTGTAACCCCAAGATCCTCACACAAATACAGTTTTCTAACCCTCCAGTATGGAATCAAGAACAACCTAAAATGTTACCACGTGGACAAATGCATTTCCCAAATGCAGCTCAGGATGAAGCAAATTGCTAGGTCAAAAATTCAGGTTTTAAATGGAACAGTGTTAACCCAGATAATCACTTTCAATATACTGCTACAGAAATTACTTGAAACGCAGGGTTGGTGATATTTTCATTCACCCTTATATCCAGCATGTCTTACTATTAGAATTCTGTTGAGCTCTAAAACAACAGCAAAATAGCCGGAGATGTTACTGTAGACTGTCAGCCCGCAGTAATCTGACACATCCCCAGCTCCATCCAACAGCAGACACACACAACACTGTTTGACTAGTAGCTACATCTCTGCTGTAACCTGATTCTGATGTTGTTGAGTTAAATTCAGTCCGTGAAATCTTCTTATCCTGTGAATCCACGGGTGTCGGACAGCAAAAACATCCTTAACCTAAGCTGGGGAACTGACTAGGATGATATACAGGATCTCCTGAGGCAATGGTGATAAAGTATCCTGATGTAACATGGATCAAAAATAGGGGCTTCTTTGCTCTGATTGATGCCTCAAAATGTTTATTTTTTTAACTTTAAAAAAATCACATGGCTGACAATCGAATCAAAAACAGACATTTCAACATCACCGGTTTCTTCAGTATAATTAACTCAAGGCACACCTCCTGTATTTCTACCTTACCCTGTGTGATCATGTGACACCGGTAGCACTCATTAATGCTGACTCATGTCAATAGACAGGAACCGAGCCCATCAATAACATACATAAATTACTAAATAATTTACAAAATACACCCACTCTTAGATTACATTTGTATTTGCACACCTAATACAAATAAATTAAGATTCTTATCATCTAATCTGTGAACACAAACTGTCATATAGTGCCAGTGCAGTAGTTACCTTGAGTGCAGTCGCTTTATATAATAGTTAGACACAACATGGGTCACTGGAAAATGCATGGGGTACAGCTGTGCACATGAAGAGGGTTCATAATAATAATGTAACTGTATTGAACATCCACAGCATTGACTGCCTGACTAAATTAAGACCCACAACTTAACCAACAAGAGTTTGAAAAGGCATTTTAATTGCCCAAATGGGGCAAAATGATTGTTCTTTAACTGATATTTTCATTAAGAAAAATAATAGGTTGCCTATATATTCAGAACCTCTTTGACTAATCTAGTAGTAACCACCACACTACTGAAAGTTTTGCAGCACAATTAAACTCAGTGAGCAACTTATTGAATAAACTACAGACAGAAGATATATTCTGTATGATAATGTGAAAAACTGCAAAAGTATTGCCTATTTAGCATATGTGTGCCTTATAACCTCGTGCATTAACCAGACAACAGTCATCTCAATCTTCTTCATTTACTGAAGTTCTCGGTTGGCCCCAGCAGAGGGCGTCACTGCACCTGCGCAGAGCCTCATAACACAGAGACGCCACCTTTCTTTTCCTTAGTACTCTAAAACGTTTTCTCGTAGTTTATTCCCAATTAAAGAAACAAGTTTCTTTTTATTTTATTTGTTAAAATATGAATATGCAATGTTCTGTTGTGTACTGTTTGAAAATGAAATTGAAAGTTTTACAATTACAATTTTACACTCTGTTCCTCACTTGATATTGTAGAACTATGGCTCTTGTTACCATTGCTAACTCTGAGAGACGAGACAGTCCAAGTAACTTCAAAACAGTGCTGATTTATTCAAAGGATCACAGGTAAAATTAACATTACACGCTCAGGTATCTTGCACCTCCAACCTGCTCGCAGGCAGATGTAAGATGAAAGACCCTGAACCCACCAGGCCTATACATTATATCCCCTCGGTTGGGCTAGCCCCATACTACACAGAAACGTCAATCGAGACGTCTCTGTTACCAGCTTTGCAGCTGGCCATAGCAATAGTCAAAACATGAAGCAAATCAATGTGTGTGTGTGTCTGTTGATTAAGTGGTGTGTAGCTAAAAACATTCTCACAGACTTCTAGAACATGTCGTGATATTAAACATAAGAACATATTATGGCTAAGGCTACAGTTATACACGTCATAATAATAATATTAAACACCCTGTCTGCTGACAGTCATCAACTCTTCTCTCTAGTTATCCTTGACCAGATGTACCCTGTAGAAACTCATAAGCATGACTGAGCATTTAAGTCTAACTAGACATCCTATCTCCACTAAACATTTCTAATACATAAAGTATCTATCCAATATCTATCTGACTAAAAATACCTAACAATATAAAGAGTAAGAGATGGAAGACAGCATGGAAATACAGTATGTAGTAAGTAGTAATCTGCAAATCAAATGTTAAATATGCAGAGAGTTGGACACCTGTGTCAAAAGACTTTAATCACCATTTTATTAGTACTTTAATGATTAAGTGGAGTTAAATGGAGACACATTGACATATTTGATGTATTATACCCTTATAATGGGCAAAGCATACAAAGGCTAAGGTTGCTAAAATATATTATTGCAGTTAAACATATCATACATGTGCAATGTCCAGTTAAGGAGATGTTACGCATGGCAGTAGGTAATGAATACATAATATGTGGACACAGAAACACTGAATATTTCTGATAGCACTTAAATGATAAACAGTTTTGTTGGAATGCACAGCTGAATTCATCTGAGCAAACTGAGTTATTGTTTTGTAGGTATTTCCTTTGTTTTTAATAAAATATGATGGAAATTAGGAGACTACAAATCAGATGGTGCTTCCATGACATAACTTAAGGTGTTCCCTGCACAATGATGATCAGCCATGCTGCCTATTTAAGGAAACCCATAGTCTTGCCACAGAAACACTGCCTTTCAAAACTACTCTGTAGCTGCTCACAACTCTCTCTCCCATGTTTCCACACTGAGCCTCCTCTAAATGTTTAGGCCCTTTTCTCTAAATAAGGCAGCCTTATCATAGTTCCTGTCATTTCTGCCTTTTCCACAAACAGCCCTAGCAGTGTCTGTGGCGGCAGCAAGCTGCAGCCTGTGCATTCTTTTGCCTTGTATGGAGAAATGGCCTGGCCTGGGTTGTCTTTGTATGGGACAAGCTGGCCTCTCCATTGGCCGGGGCGGAAAGGGGAGGGACTCACCAGGAGTCTGATTCTTTAAACAAACTTAGGGCAGGACTGGCTGCTTCCCTTCCCACTGCTCTGTCGGATCCAGACAAAAGGAGTTTGCAGGACTCCCAGACATTCCTACCTGAAACCAAGGTGAGAGAGAAAGCTGTTTCTACCACTGGGTTGCATCAGTAGATTTTAAAGTCTCATATTTGGTGTCTTCTAATGGTGCTGAAAGTGTACATTCTCTGAGTTCAGTTGTTGTCAGAGCTGGGATAGTAAACAGAGAGCTTCTGAACTGGATCTGTAATTAAAGGTATCATAGAGCTACAACAGAGCTTTTTCATCTGGTGATCAACATCCAACAGAAAGCTACAGAGGATGCTCACCTTCACCATGTCTGTATGTTGGTATATACAGTGTACACACGCTGTATCCCTGTGTGTTTACTTCCACTTCATCACTGTGGCACATCAGGTAGAGGAATTTCAGAGTGCAGCTGACCCTTTTAGATCTGTCTCACTCACGCTCTCTTAAACACACATTCATACAAACCTCTGAGGTTTTTTTTTATAGGTGACGAGAGCTTAACTTCACTTCACACTGTTTGTTTTTGGAATCTCTGACTGTTGGCCTTTTAGTCTTCACCTCACTAGTGGTGACCTACATGACCTGAAATAAGGGTGAAGGATGATAGCCTGACTGTTTGGTGAAATGTGTGTGTGTGTGTGTGTGTGTGTGTGTGTGTGTGTGTTATTGCTGGACAGAGGAACAGAGGAGACTTTGTCATTCTAAAGAGATAAGAAGGGTCCACAGAGGAGCTGTGGTGGCCAGAGAACAAATACAACTGTCAAAACAAGCCGAGCTGAGGAACGTCAGCCACATGTTTATATTACTGGGATCAAAAATAGTTTTCTTCCTCTTTGTGAATCATTGTTAATTAATGCAGAATTCAAAAAAGGTTTCAGTTGTTGCTACAGCTCAAGACTCAGTGACTGTAAACATGAAATAATGTGAAACTTTTTCAGAAATCTACCTTACTGTTCGCTTTAAACAGAGCTGCTAGTCACCAGTCAGACTTTCTCAGGAGACACCGTTCTACTGAGTCAATGGTGCCAAACAAGAATACACACTTGAGATAACTCAGTTCCTGGGCCTGCAATTGGACTGTTTACATTGGAGCATAAATTGCTGCAAGTGTCCACACAATGAAAATCGTGTGTATTGTGAGGAGGAGAGAGAGAAGCCCTAATCAGTCTGAGGAATTCCTCTATTCCTTAAACCCTAAATTGGAGCTAGACGCCGTTTTGTTTCCAGCTTCCTGTGATGATTGTGAGATGAAGAATGGACGGCCGTGGGCCAACAGCACACACCTTCCAGATTTTTTCATTTTTTCTGGCACATGAAGAGACAGGAGCAGCCAAACAGGAGCCAAATGAAATAAAAGACTGAATCAACATGTGTCTTTAGTGAGAGAAAGGAAGCAATGAAACCACTGCGGGCAAAAACTGTGTATGTGGTACAAGCTGATGATATCTTTGTTGATACACTTCTTTTGGCAACTAAGTAATTAAGATGTTGAAATCCCTTCCTGTAGCCTTTATACCAAGGTCACAGACATACAGATCCATTTCTGGGTTTTAGCTATGTTAATAATTTATATTATAAACTTTGGTGAGTACCTAAGCTGGTTATACTGCTTTGCATTAATCATAAATGTTACAAGACAGCTTCATTTGTATAGAGATCAAAATAGGTAGAAACTTTATGCTCAGCAGAAAGAGATAAAAGGCCACATAGATAGGCAAACGTGCTCTAACACTGCCTTCAACAGCTTCTCTGTGAGGCCTTTGTGAACCATACAAGCAACAGAGACAACAGACACAGACATCTAGGTCTTCTCCAGGAACATCTTTTGTTACAGCTCACTGTTATGTAGGACAGAACATTTCAAACATTGAATTCCACTGTGGCCAAGTATAAACACCAGTAAAAATTACACCAATTGCAAATATATCTCACTTTTTTTTTTTATGATGCCGTTTTGATTTTCACGGTGTACATTTAAGAATGAAATCGAATAAAAACCAAACGCTCCATAAATGGGATAGCAATCTTGTTGCAGTGAATAGTTTGTGTGTTCCACAGGCAGTGATCCTAAGGCCTCAGCGCTGGTTGGAGCATGATGTCATTATTCTGTGACTCATCAGACACTTTGCCCCGCTCCTTCCGGCCTATACAGCCGTTCCCTTTGTCCTATGTATGATCCTGGAAGCATGTGAAAGTTAGATGCAGCGTGTATTGTGGAGACATGTCACTGTCATGCATCCATCACTACAGCTGACATTTATGGAGAATGAGAGCCACTCTCCTTGGAAGCGAAAGAAAGATTCTCTTGCTCTGAGAAAACCAAAAAGAAAATATAAAAGAATGGTGATTTCAGCAAAATAGTGCAAAATATACATCATCTGTTCAAATTAATGCTCTTTTCATGTTGAGCTTTGTTAGCGAGCAATATACCCTAGTACAACATGATGTAATCCAGGGATCAATCCTTTCCAATGTGCACAGGCTCAGATCCAGCTGTCACCATGTCAAGCAAGCGTGCCAAGGGGAAGACCACCAAGAAGCGCCCTCAGAGGGCCACCTCTAACGTGTTCGCCATGTTCGACCAGTCTCAGATCCAGGAGTTCAAAGAGGCCTTCAACATGATCGACCAGAACAGAGACGGTTTCATTGACAAGGAGGATCTGCATGACATGCTGGCCTCTCTGGGTAAACAGCCCTGTTCTTACAGTGACAAGTGAGGATCAGAGGTTCCAAAAAAAAAAAAAGAACAATGGCAATGCTTTTAAAGGAGCATTCCACCTGTTTTACACATGCCATTGGTTGGCAGTACTACTCACTCTGTGCACAGTTTAGATACATTCAGTATCTTCAGTAAGAGTTTTGAAATCTGAGGAACCCTGATGACCCTGATTAGAGGTTTCTCCCTTTGGGCTCAGAGTTTACAAATTTACAGCAGGAAGCTGCATTACAAGTGGGGCATTAGAAAGACGTGGGGCTTTATCAGGGGTGGAAGATCTAACTTAAGATGCTGTAGAGGTGCATTATGGGAAAAGTAGGATTCAGTGCTTTTGGAGCTAAAAGTCAGGGTTCTGCTGCTTTGGATTTGATCACTTTTTAATCTGTCCCTTTCTAATCTATTTCTCAACTCTGCAGAAATGAAATGCTAAATCGCTGGAGTACCCCTTTATCATATTTATCTTCAGACTGTCGCTTTGTTGAAAAAGGATGGCTAGAATAGTGTTTTTGTGTCCAGCAATAGTAAGTCAATTATTTGTAAATAAAAAAATAACTATTTAATACATCTGGCTCTTCAAAGGTCCCTTCAAAAGTCATTTGATTTTTAATGAATTCTTGAAACCGCAACATTATGTCTAATATGCTCAACAATGTTTAAGGCACCAAAGAACCACCTCCTGGTTCTGTCGACTGCTCAGGACAGTGGGATGCATATAACAGTGTTGTCCATCCTCAGGTAAGAACCCTTCTGACGACTACCTGGAGGGGATGATGAGTGAAGCACCAGGGCCCATCAACTTCACAATGTTCCTCACCATGTTTGGAGAGAGGCTCAATGGAACGGACCCCGAGGACGTCATCCGCAACGCCTTCGCCTGCTTCGATGAGGAGGGATCTGGTGAGTCATTATAAACAGAATGCCCAGATTATGGCATTTAATGTGTGGAACCTTATCTAATGGATATTACCTGTGTCCAAGGTGTGATCCACGAGGACCATTTGAGGGAGCTGCTGACCACCATGGGCGATCGCTTCACAGACGAAGAAGTGGATGAGCTGTTCCGTGAGGCGCCCATCGACAAAAAGGGCAACTTCAACTACGCAGAATTCACCCGCATCCTCAAACATGGTGCCAAAGACAAGGATGATGAATAGATGGAGGAAACAGCTGCTTTGGGCCCCTGCACACATACTGCACCACAAACCAGCCCCCAGTTCCTACCTTTGTGGACCTTGTAGGTTTGAGACAAATTAAATAGGAATGCCTGCAACAATATTATACATCTTACAAAAGGGCAGAAGTAAATTTACATTTATTTAGGTGGAATCTGAGACTTATAGAAATATTCTGCAATACTTTTTTTTATTGTCATTGAAGGTTCATATCCGTGAAGAGAGGTGTGTCCAAGTATCTGCATCTCATTGTTTCCTGCAGCTTGTCTGATCTTTATAGGGAATTGTTTGGACTTCTGAGATGTATTAAACACCAGTGTGCATGTGTGTGCAGGGGTGTTCGGACTGTCAGATTCAGTAGTACAAACAGGACCAGCCATGTTTACCTCTTCCTATTAGCTACCACACCCCACATAAGCACTGCAACAACACTGTAATATCGGCATCCTTGTATGATGAAAGTGGATGAAGTGAATGGTCATCCTGATTGTTTGCCAATCAAAAGTGGTGGATACTTCCACTTGATGAAATGGTTACAAGAGCTTCTAGTCCAAACTTATATTGTCCTCTCGTCAGCTGGTTCTGTGTTTGTTGAAGGATCAGGTACAGCACGTTTCTGTTGAAGGAATTCAGTCTTTATTGCTCAGGCAAATAAAGTATGTTGATTCATGCTATTGACCACAAAATGTTTGGTGGTGTCTTTGAGTTTTAAATCAATGTACCACGTCTGTGTCAGACCTTTCAAATATCGAGTCTGCCAAACAAGTGTCTCCCATTTAATTTGCATGCTTAAAGCGCAACCACTGCTACATTTGGATGCTAAAGCCCTTTGGATTTACACAGCAGTACACTGTACTGAATACAGGAGCTTTAATGTAACCACCTGGATCATTTTTCTAAACATTTTTTTGTTTCAGCTACTTTGCTTCACGATAATGAAATAAACGAATAATTCACCACACTAAGTTCATACTTCATTGACATGAGCAGAGCCTTATTTCTGCTTGAAAGATAGAACTGGTTGTTTTTGTTTACCAATTTGAAAGAATAAAACAAATGTCTGGATTAATGTGGGCACAGTTTGTGGTAAATGGGTTTACACCAGCAGGGTCCTTTGAGCTAATTAAATGTTCCATATCCAGCAAAACTTTGTAACTTTGATATATAGTAATTGTTAAAAAGCGAGTCAAAATAGTCCCCTGATCTTTTTGAGGACACATTTTACTATGAATTTACTTGATAATATAAAGCATACCACATTATTTCCATGATCCTTAGGTAACAGTTTGCTTCACCGAGGGTCTTTTAATCACAGCACAACAGATTCAGACTGGAATATTAATAAATCCCTGACTGATGCACGGAAGTTATGCGACATTGCCCCCTCCCCCCAAATTCTTCCCTGGAGAAAACCACACAGCCTAAGAAGAGTTCACAAACACATTAAAACAACCAAAGCTGCTTGAACTTTGGAAGTCAATTGTGTGTGCATGTTGTGCCCTACAGTCCATTGTCACAGCATTTTGACTTCTTGTGCAGGAAGAGCAGAGGTGTTAATGATAGCATTAACAATTGGTGAATCCCAATTCCTCAGTCCTCACTTGACCCGGAAGTCATTCCGGTCCACCATGATTAAGGACATCTGAAAGTTCTTTATCTCTGGTCTGAGGCGCGATGAGGAGCTATGACTGAGGATACACAAGTGTATCCTTCACACATGTCTGCTACAGATTGACACATCCCTTTGTTGGAAATCAGTTTGTGATTAGACGCCTCACATAAGGATCTCATGTCAGCTAAAACATGTTACCTCAGTTCCTCTTTCCTTGCATTTTACTTGGGTTGGACTAAGACGCAAGGAAGAGATTCAAGTGAGGGTAAAGTGGATGCAATTAGAGGAATTGGGATTCGCCTAATGTGACACAGTGAGTCAGTGCACACAACACCAGGACTCTAGTGTGACAAACTGTCTTGCAAGATAAGAGCCTATCATAAGTAGATAAATAGGACATTTAAAAAGCTTTAGCATCATTGATAATTCAACTGGGTTATTCTCACAAATTAAACAAAAAAACAGCATTAATGAAAAACTGAACTTTTATTTCTTTAAAATGCTTATACAAAACACATTTAAAGTTTAAGGCATATATTGCACAGACTATTGTGAAGTTTTTATATATATATGAATGTATTTGGCTGTGAAGGAACAACACAGTTTGAGATAAAGTTCATGCCAATACATACAAAACCAAAAACAAAAGACCTTGAAAATATTTACATGCATTATTACACTATCTTCTGATTGGAGCAACAGTTTGTAACTAAAACCCAATATAAGCCTTGTTATATAAAACCTGCCTACCTAATCTTTAACCAGCCATTTCCAGTATCACAGGTGTCGTCACAGTGGCACGATGTAGTATGAATAATAAAAATATTACTTTAATACTTATAATTCTACATATGACCAAAGCCTGCCATGACCTGGATAAGTTGAGGTATCAGTCTAGCAAGTACCTGTGTAAAAAAAACAAAACAAAACAAAAAACAAAACAACTCTCCACTGACATGTACAGTAAACAATAGGCAGTGAGGGAGACAGAAACAGAAGAGTTGGAGTTTCCAAAACATGCCATGAACAAGAAGCTGGACAGATGTGGGGGTGCTGGGGTCAGTGCTCCGTCTCTTCCAGCTTCTTGCACATGCAAAATGTAACCGCGTGAACCACCCTGGGCTCAGTGACATGGGTAAACATGACAGGTCTGCTACAGTATTATTCACATGGAGAGCCAACTTTCCCACACATTGCTACTGTTAGCAGATGTCCAGGTGGCATTCAGCCATATATCGTTTGTGCTAAGACAGTTTCATGGAAACTACAGCGTTATGAATGATTAGAAGCCCTAGAGAAACCATTTCTAAAAACACAAGTGGAAAGCACTGATGGGAAAAAAAAAAAGACGTTTTATACTGTTGTACCTTCCTGGGAAAAAAGCTAATCATCATCAGCTATTTTATTACATCTGCAGGATTTGCTCTGCCGAGACACCGAACTATGAAGACATGCAGGTTTGAAATATACTGGCCAAACCCTAGGGTCCCAAATCGTCAGAGACATCTGTATCATTCATCCATCTCCCAAATAAAAGAGTCCAATATTTAAAGTATTTTGCACCAGAAAAAAATAAAAAAAAGGTGCCATGTCTCACAACGAGTTTTAGGTTTCAGTTCAGGAACTGCAGGAGCTTGATGTCACCAGATCACCAAGCTGCTCACTGAAATTGATTTCTGTAACAAATTCAGTGTGACCTTATCCCAATCAAACCACAACCCTCCCTCTCAACAACAATCCCTACAAATTGTACACAACCGATCAAGGTTACATAAAAAAAAATAACGGACAGAGAAAATACTTCTTGTTTGTTTAAACACGATTCTAGATTGGAAATGCAAACAAAGAAACGAGTGGTACTTGAGAGCATGTGTTGAATGGCTGAGATGAAAATTTGTGCACACCAATGAATTTACTTAGCTATAAAAAGACAGCATGATGGGATGGGGGGGTGGGGCAGAGACAGACACAGAGGACAGTCAGTAAAGCTCTCTGCAGTACAATCAATCTCCCACCTGCTCATCTCCACCACAAAAAAAGAAGGGGAGAAACATAGTGGAGTCAAAAACAGACAACTGTTTTTAAATCATGAGAATCCACACAACTATAAACTGCAATGAAGCTGCTGGTGTACACAGAAATAAAACCCAATATTCACCTTTGTCTCCTGGACAAGAATGATGTCAATGCCTTTAGTACATTCAATAAAGTCCAGTACTGCCACTGAAGAGGCCAACTCTGCCGGTGCTGCTAATTACACCAACTGACATTTTGTACAATTACTGGATACTTTCCTGCTCTCTCATGGGCTGTAAATGAAAACGGGGTATAAAATGGTATCAAAAACTTTGTACAATACATTTACTGTGCGCGCACACACACACAAATCTTCCTTTTGGGGACTGGCACAGTGTTCTTATCAGCAATGGCTTCATTTTATCCTAGTTCGCACATTTAATTCACTGCTGTGCAGGCTTTAGTTCAAAAGGAACTGGTGATGAAGATACATTCTTGTATATACAGTGTTGTCTCACCCCTCCTCCACGAATACATAAAAATAAAAAAAAAAGTTAGTTGACAGTTTCACTCACCGTATGCAGGCTGTGCTGTGGACCCCACACTGTGGCAATGGGGGTCTTTACCACTTGAAGGGAACTAGGTTGCCTAGTGTCAGCATGCACCATACTCCAAACACTGGGCACCACAGCTGAATTCCTCTGGGTGCTACTGCTGCTTGCGGAGCAGGGCCGAAGAGAAGGAGTAAGGTGGGACGCAAGGCCCAGAAGAGGCGTGATGGTGGGGGCAGAGGAGGACGTCAACGCTGAGGCTGGAACGGAAGCAGAGACTGCGGAGGAAACGGGGGCTGGAGATGATGCTGAGGACAAAACAGGTGCTGGACATGGAAGAGTGACTGGGATTAAAGATTTGTGAAATGGAAGGTAGAGTGGGACTCCTCTGGGGGAGGTGAAAGAGGTGATGGTTGGAGAGGGAGCAGCTGGAACAAGTGCTACAGTTGAGGATGAAGCTTGGCTTGAGGCAGGGACAGAGGCAGAACTCGAAGCTGGGACAAAGACTGGTGGTGGCACTGAGACTGGCATTGTTACTGGCAATGCTGCATTCACAGGAGATGCAGTGGGCAGTGGAGCCAGAGCTGATGATGAAGTTGAGGTAACGACTGGAGCAGCAGATGATTTCTGAGAATTCAGCTGTCCAAAACCTGAAGCTGACACTGGCACTAAAGTTGGTAGGTGGGCTGGGATGAGCGTAGGCTGGTTTGGGCTGGAAGCTCTGGTTGTGTCCTTTTCCAAGGGACTCCAAATAAATTTATTCATTTGGATAGGAGAGAGCCTTGGGGCTGAGACCAAGACTGGAGCTGGAACTAGTACCGAGGCTGCTGAGGACTGAGGAACTGCAGCCTCTGCTGAAGTTTCAGCTGACACAGGAACTGCCATAGCCTTCTCCATCAGACTCTGCACCCTGCAGGCATCCATGACTTGCTGGCTGTCCTCTGGAGGTGGCGTGGGGCCCATGTCGCTGCTGTAGGTGACACACTGTGCTTCCACCAGCTCAGTCTTTACAGCCTCTGTTGGTTTGTTCTGGCTCTCCTGGACTCTCTTCAGGTCCTCCTGCTCTGCTGCCCTCAGCAGAGCTGCATCGACTAGCAGCCTCAAGTCGCTGAAGTCCTGGGTGGGGAACAGCTCAGGAGGAGTCGGGGGCGGGGTGTTGAAGAGGCCAGTGGTGGGGCTAGCTGCTATTGTTGTGCTGGTGAGACAAGCTATATTAGCCCCTCGCTCCTCTGCTTCCTTCAGCAAACTCTGTGTATCCAGCCTCATCAGTGCCTGGACTGATCCTCCTTTATCAGGGTAGCCTGCTCCTGTCAGAATAGCTGTCGCTGTGTTCCCAAGAAGACTGAGGTCCAGTGTGGGGGCAGAGCGGATAACAGAAGGGCGCTGTTGAGACGAGCTGGTGGAAGAGTTTCTTTCTGGAGAGCCGGCTCCGCCTCCATTAGACAAGTGGCCTTCACTTTTACTGCCCACCTTGCGGGAGATGGTGAACTTGGTGGGATCTTTTCCATCCTTGCGAAGGAGGTCAGGGAGAAGGCGGCGACGTGCATTGATGAACCAGTTACATATCTGGGAAAAGATTAAGCATTTCTAGCATAAAAAGAACTGATACTGAACACTTACATGGATGTCTCACTTAAAATAAAGGAAAAGAGCAAACACTAAAGATGTGCTTATACATGTTTTTGTGGGCCTGCGTTGATATTACTACAACATTTTAATGAAATATTAAGTTTTGACCTGCCGGCTCCAGTTAGGCCAATTCCAAAACTCAGCTCCTGCAATGCATTCAGGATCTAAAAATGATCTACAGGCTGTGGTTCTAATAACTACCTACACATTCTTCTTCATCCTCCTCTGCACGCGAGGCCTTACTTACCCCTCTAGTGGTACAGCCTCCCACACAACGAAGAAAGATGGTGAGACAGAGAGACACGAGAGCCCTCAGACAGCTGGCAATAATGAACGTCTGCTCTCAAATATGCTGAGCCACAGAGCAGCCAGTCACAGGCATTACAGTGAAGTGACTACATAAACTCTGCTGCCGCCTCATACTGATCTGTAATGCTTTATCTAAAGCAGCCTGCCTGTTTGTGTGGGCCTGTGCTGAGACTTAAAGAGGAAACGTGTACTACCCATGGAATGAAGTGAAAAGGGGAAAGTGTCCCTCTCAGCAGTGCCCTGTGGCGATACCATCTGACCATTGTTCACGGTGTTGATTGAAAAGCTGGTGACAAAGTTACACATGTACTAAAACTTGTCCCCCCCAAAAAAAGTCACCTTTAAACATTAACATGCATGTTGATACACTTCTACTACAGAAAAAAAAAATCCACCAGAAGGCAGAAAACACAGCAAGTGTCACTTCCTCTGGCAAGCACCGAGTACTTTTAGAAAAACAGGAAAAAACATGTAAAAAGCTGCTCCTCACCTGCAGCACAGAGAGGTTGGTCTGGCCTGACAGACTGAGTTTCTCCTGCTCTGACGGGTAGGCGTTGAAGCGGTGCTCGTACAGCCAGCTCCGCAGAATCTGCACCGCCTCCTTGGGCAGGTTGCCTCGGCGACGCCGCTTACCACAGGGCCCTGTTCCTGACAGGTCAAGCGGGGAGCCATCATCGCTGTCTGACACAGCCGAGGAGTGCTCCTGCTCTGGGCGATGCTCGTCGTCCAGAGCTGAGGAAGAGGAAGAAGAGGTTTTAGTCACAGTCACCATTACTGCTCCGACCATGTCGTTCACATCGCATCCAGTAGTTGTTTGGTATAAAGAGGTGCTCCACATTATTTTGCCATATGTAAGGTCCTTTATGAATGATTCATACACACGCACACACACACACAACTAGGGCCTGGTCAGAGAAATTTGTCTGAACTGATCTAGCACTTAGTAGTGAACAAATACACAAACCACATCAGATACCTCCACTTTTCAACCCACTTCATAGTGAGTCACACTGTGGCTTGGTGAGCTAAACATGTTTAAAACAGTGACTTTGTGGTGTGAACTCTGTATCTATTTTTTTTTTTTGTCCTGAATGGTTGGCCACAGGAGGGAATCTCCCTGCAAAATGGAGCATGCCTGATCCCAGAGGTGGGACACAGAATACACTGTCTTTCCCTGGGGCTGAGTGAAACCTGACCCCAAGGGGCAGCGCCTGTCTTCACAAAGGAGATTGTGTGCCTATCAACATCACAGTAGCCAGTGGCCCAGGAATCTATTGACCATGCAAAGGAGGCCGTTTTCACCTCATGCCAGTTCAGCTCAAGACTGCTGGAGCAGTTGACAAATCTTTTGAATTCTGCATTCCTCTACAACAAGGGATGTGCAAGACCAAATCAGAAAAGTGGGGGGAAAACTTAAAACATACAAATGCAAATTATGTACATTTCCCCCACTTTCTGGAAATGAGCTAAACTCCCCTGACATCTAAAAGGTTACAGTGGGACTGGGCATTACTGTTTACAAATTATATCATGATATTTAAGGCTACCATTGATCATTTTGAACAAAAACTGTTGCTGAAATTAATGTTCCTTTGCAAACTAAGTAAATCAAAAAGTGATTAACTTAGGTTTTAGCTTGTCAGGATTCTGCTCCAGTATAACACAACAGCAGAAACTGGTGCATTGCACAGAGCATGAACTTCATGTTTATATGTGAGCATGCATACATTTTGCTAAATTTTTAATTAATATCACTGAATTAGTGTCAGCCCTTCAGAGAAAGAGGTAAAAAAAAAGTTCAATAATTGGTTAAATTAAGTCTAACTGGATATGGAAATAACACTGGAGTCTTCAATATAATCCACACATTTTTGTTTAGTACAATATGTCACATCAGCAGCAACTAACATCTCACTGGCTGTCAACTCGACCCAACTTCGTTTTTACAAAATGTCCCCGCTGCAAAGACTAAAGCTGGTAAATCTGTGCACTGCCAATCTGGTTGCTATTTTCCATGTTCTTCAAAACTGCGGTTCTCAGAAAGAAGTCAACAGTCTCAGATTTTCAACGTGACCTCCACCAACACGTCACCGCACAAACAGCAACTTTTCACACCAGCTCGCTTGGTCCAAGAGATAACGTCACAATCTAAGTAAAATACCTCGAATAATGCAAAGCGTTCCATTCACACAGCACAAAACAGGGGAGCTACTCGGTAAATTAGCCATCTGGGGCGCACAAAGGAGGCAGCGAGGAACACGCAACCTCCTGCACGTCGCTCCGCCAGATGGACACCATGCCTGCCTCCAGAGATAACTAGCTGGCTAGCTGTCCCTCCAAATTTAAACATAAACACACGCTGCGTTTGTTCGCCACAAAAAGCCCGAATACCAGGAAAAAAACCCAACCGCAAAGACACCAAGGGGTCGCACACGTGTAATGTGCGGGTGATAAACGTGCACTGCTGTGGTTAGAGGGAAAAAAGACAACAAAAAACAAGACGTGTGTCCTCACCTCGTTTGAATGCTTTCATTCTTTGTTGATGGCTGGCTGGAAAGCCTGCAGCTGTCCAAGTTGCTCGCTATACAAAGCGTGTCCGGGAGCTAAACGATGGTTGACACAACGGCACTTTCTTCCAAAAAGCTGAAGGTGTTAGGCTTGCACCGACTTAAATGTCTTACTTTAGAGCTTCTGCCGCAAGAAAAGGCTTCACCGGACGGTCCGTCTCCATCGCATGCATCGCCTTCTACCAGTGTTTTCTGCTTTATGTCGCTTGCTCCTTTTACCTGCACACAGCAGCGCCAGCTCTTGCCAATCTTGACAGTCTCAGCTAAAATGATCCCGCCTCATCGACAGCTATCGACCAATCACGAAGCCCCATTCCGCCTCTTGAACAGCATTTAACCAATCACGGTGCTCCGTTCGATAGCTCCTTGTCATTGTGACTGACGGGAGAACTATTTCATTCATAATAAAGCACAGTCACTGAAACGGTTACGTTGTCGACAAAACTAAAACCACACGATTACATCGACACAAACCCGTTTATCCATAGGAACATTGCAAATTTTTAAGCTCTTATTATTTTTAAGCACTTTTATTCCTGTGTGCGGCAGACAGCTACAGAGAGCGGAAAGGCTTTACGCAATACTGAGCAAAATGTTCTTGCTACATAAATAAAGACGGCGACTCGACTGGTGACCACATTTGACTTCTTCATAATATAATTTGCCAAGACATTTCGGCTCACTAGACGTATTTGTAGTGTGATATTTACACATTCATACAGAATGTGTAACTCCCGGCTAATGATGCAGATGTGTTTCACTTGGAGATTTCAGGAGCTCAGATAAAAAACAAGTTAATGGACGTTAGGCTACTGTAATCTACCTGTTGTAAACATTTGAATATATAGGCTATTATATTTTGTGTTATATGCGCAAAATGCACTGCCCAGAGGCTGTAAAGGGACATGCAGAGCAATAGCAAAACATGCATATGAAACACGTGATGTGCAATTACAATTCAAATCTAGCAGGTTTTGAAAACAATAATATGTAGTATTGTATTTCTGTTAAAATGTTTTTGAAATAAAAATGACATCCTCCTCAATTTGGGTCAGCAAACAGCTTGTACACAGCAGTAAGCACATACAGACATAGTGAGAAAGTACTGTGTGCATTTTATTGAATGTTACGTCTCTCCGTTATACATTTAAACAACCTTCAAATAGTACAAATAGATGTACAGCATTGTAAAAGATGAAGCGTCTCAGTCAGGTTTTCTTCCTATTTACAGAAAATTCCTCGAAGCACAAGGGGAGAAATCCTTCTGATTATAGTTTCATCTTAATATCAAAAGAACCCTTTTACTCAGCATTGCACACATACTTTAAATGTTACCAGAGCGCAGGGACAAGAATCTAGGTAAATTTAATTTCATGAAGAACACATTGCTCACTCACAACTTTGCCTCAAACAGTACAACCCTTTTATACTAAACCCTACAAACCCTGACATACACACAGCCTACTTATTGTACTAACCAGATAAGTCTTTAAAATATGTGCTTGTTTCATAAAATATTTGCTCTACATTTTTAAATACACTTTTTGCTACATAATATCTCTTGTGGATAAGAGCAAAGGTTTCACTCCTCACCACTTTTCCCAGTTTCAGCCCAACACAGTGAAACAAAGCAGAGATGCTAATATGCTAATTAGTTGTTTTTTTGAAAGCAAGCAGGCCTTTGGAGTATTGTATGGGAATGGATTCACTGGAATCCCATCTGAGGTAAACTGTCTTCCTGGGATTAACCCGTTTCTCTCTGTCACCTCTACAGAAGTAACTTTTTCTTAGTGCTGGAATGCAGAGAAATTGGCAAACACATAAAACAAGCTTTAAGAGTGGCTAAACTTTATTTAGCATGTAATTTCATACCTATTTTTATAGCAAAAAGTTTAAAGTGAAAGGGTACATTGGTATCACAGAAGATATGGCCATGGCCACACTGTAAATGACTATTTTACCTAACATGTAGACTACTGAGTCTTCAGGATTATGGACAACAATATACTTGACTACTGACTTCTGTGGCTGAAGGAGGCACATTAAAGAGTGTAGCTGAACGAAAGTGTTGAAAAGCCAGTTGATTTTCAAAATTAAGCTTCGCCCAAACTGACTCCTGCATGGGCCAATGCTTTTAGTATCGACTTTAAAAGTGCAAATCACACAAACCCATACAGGGATGCATTATCACCCCTAAATCAATGGCTTCACAGCAGCAGCCCTCCTCCCCCCGCATTGCAGCTGTTTAGATCATGGATAACCCTACCCAGGAAATTGGTCTATAGGTGTGTCCCAGTGATATCTCCCAGTGTGTATTGGAGAGGAGCCTTGTTTAAATGTATGAGCTCTCTTGAAGTATGTCACTGACATCTCTTGGCATTTTACACATCCAAGTTTAAGCAGGCTTGAGAAGCATTGCCTTGTAGTTTGCTATGATTAGGTCACAGGACAACTTTATCTATGCTCCTGCCCTCCTTCCCTTAGTGTGCCTGAGATGCCACATTGTGTTTGATCTGCAGTCAAGTCAGGCACAGACCTCTGGTTTGTGTGAGGAAGGCTGACAGTGGGGTTTGGGCTTAAATGAAACTGCAGCAAGAGGAGAAAAACATAAACATGGTATAAACATGTTTTTTAAATATCCTAAGGATGGCAGTGAGGGCATATGGTGAAAAAAAAATTACGAGTTCTTGTAACACACAGACTATAACCCGTTTATTTAAGACAGTGATATTGTCTCAACTCACTTTAGGAAAACAACTTGTCAGATAACTTTTTCCTGGCAGTCAGAAATCAAATCAAACTACTGGCTTAGTCAGACAAAAGGCCTTCAGGTGCTAACGATGCTATCCACTGTAGTCAAATGGAGGGGGTCATTGATGACAACCAGCCAACAGGCTATCGACACCCTGGAGACATTTTCCTTGCTGAGAGTGGCCCCCAGCAGGCAAACACAACAGGCAAATAAAAGGCTGCCATCAAGAGAGAGCTCTTGCTATAGAGAAAGAATGGTGGTCATCAAGCTTTTCCAATTCAAAGCTCCAGGCTGCAATTTTTGGGTCACAGTAGGTGAGAAACAAGCATCACAGCAGCCAAAGCAATGGGCGGGATGCTGCAGTAGTTTAACATAACTAATTAGGAAGGGGCAAATTAGTTTGTTTGTTTTCCATTTGGAAGAAACCAAATGTGAGACAGAACTGTGGCTAATCTAAGATATGTTAGGGCTGACACTGTGGTGGGGCATGTGCTTGTACTGTGAAGTCCTAAAGTGAGACAGAGGAGTCTATAAATGTGTGTCACCCATTCAGTGTATCTCATGGCAAACCAGAGCAGGGCTAGAAGTTCTAATGTGAATGAGTTTTCCCAGTATCTATACAGTGCACTGTATCTTGAACAGAGTTGACCACTGCTGCCCTCTAGAGGTCAGATTGAAAATATTTTAAGACATGACAGTTTGCAAGCAGAGAAAGGGATGTACACATAAAGCACACGTTTCATATTCTATTGAAAATGTCGTGTTTCTGAATTTTCCAGCTCCTACTGGCCTTGAATGCTCCACAGAAATTACTCATTACTATTGTAGTGATGGGCATGATGTGCATAACAGAAACGGTCACAGTCCGCCTGCTTTCACAGTAAGCTGTTGATGTTTAGTTCCCTGCTGCTGACATTTGAACACGAGATGAATTTGAAACACAGAATTCATCTTTGGCTTATGCAGTCTTCCATGGAAAACTCAAAGCATTTAATAAATGATGAAAACAATAACTAATGTATGTAATACTTTAATTAAATATTTTTCTGTAAAAAAAAGTGCAGGTACTTTGGATGATGTTCAATGGGGGGGAAACAGTGATGACTAAAACTAAGACTGAATTTGCAGAGTGATGGGAAGCAAAATAAAATCATACATTAATTTCAAAAC